TTTTTTTTTTTTTTTGCTCTTATACTCTGGCATGGGCAGCGGTAAGGAGGTTTGTGGGGTGAAGCTACCCCAAAATGTGCCTTAGACTTCTCCTGTAGCCCTCGTACCCAACGAAAAGAGTTTACTGCTGAAGTGGTTCACTTCCTACATACTATAGTAACCCCTCAATATTTTTATCTAGCCCCCTTCAGGCTCCTCATCAGGAAGAGGCTAATTCATGTACAACAGACAATGGCGAATGACGTTTTTCTGTTTATGTATTCTTCAACTCGTGGCTGTGACTTTATACCAAATTTTCCAATTACACACAGTACATAAAAGACATACAACAACATAATAATAATTTGATACAAAAACATGTTATTTACAAGCAAGGGCATATATAAATTTATCTTGAAACACGAAATTTCCTAAACTAGGTGTCAAATTTGTTAATTCTTTTAAATTTGATTGTTGCTCCTTTGACAATTAACAGGATCAATAATGTGGCAATTTTTTCCAGACACAAATATAGGCTCAAGTAGTTGTTCAAACTACAAACTCAGTAAGGTCACGTTTTTGCCCTAATTTCCTGGATTAACCACATCTAGGCAGAAATAATGCCAACTATATCTTATAATGGTGGGAAAAACACAACCATGGCGCCTCACGATACCATTTCAAATCAATCTTAATTAAGTCTTAATTTGCATACCCCCACTGTAATTATTTCTTCGTTTCAAAGGAGGACGAGTCGAGTCTGAGTCTGCATGCTCTGTTTCCTCAACGTCACAATTATTTAACGTTATCGAGTTAAGCCTAAACGTAAACAAGTTTCACTTTGGGGTGCTTTATTCCCTGGAATTCTACTACGTAAAGTACAGATAAAAAATCACGATGTTGGAAAACTTCTCTTAATATTTGGGGGTGCTTTAGCACCCACTTCACTATGGCCTTGTTCAAGGTATTTTATAAAATCAAATACACCTAGCACATAATTATTAAAGTGGAAATTCGTTTGGTAAACAACAATCTCAAAAACAAAAAAATATTAATAATAACTTTCAAAGTATTGTTACGTCTCCGTGTGTTAATTAATTTTCCGTA